CTTTTTATTTTCATTTTCAAAAATTTTTAGACATAAAATAACATAATAATTTTTTAGATTTTTTTATTAAAATACAAAAGTAAAACTAATGACTCCAATAAAAAAGATAGAGACAATGTGAAAATAAAAATGCTCGATTGAAAAGATAGTGACAAAAACATAAAAATAAATATGCTTTTTAAACAATTTTATAGTGAATTTTTACATTTATAAAATAGAAGGTACCAAATGAATATGTCTTTAAAGACTATATTTTTTTTAATTTTTATTTCTAAAATATTTTTGTAAAAAAATCTTAATTCTAAAATTATTTAATTAAAATATATAAAAATAAAAATAATTATTATTATAGTTTTAAAATTTAACTCGAGATCAACTTAAGATAATGCTTGAGTTACAAGTTAGGAGGGCCAATTTGTGTTGATCCCCCTTTTTTTTTTAAATAATAAGAATGACATTGTTTTGACAAAAAAAAAAAATCAATGGTTTTTTAACTTAGATTTTACTTTGGGTTGACCTTGTCATGAGTCTCCTCGAGTTTTTGATCGAGACTAGTTAGGTCAATTATTTCTTTATTTTTTTGAAAACCTGAATTGGTCTAGGTCTTGGGTTGACCTACCAAGTCGAACCATGTATTATAACTTGAATTATTATACTATTATTAATTTCAATATTTAATATCAATTATAATAAAAAATAATATCTAATTACTTTTTAAATAAGTAAATTTAACAATAATATATATTAAAAATAAAATATTTTTTTAATTTTTTTCACGATCAACTAAATATGATATAGCGTGTTTGACATTACGTTTTGGGAAGCGCTTTTGCAAAAAATTGAATTTTTTTATTTTAAATTAATATATTTTTTATATTTACAAAATATTTTGAAACAGTAATATCAAAATAATTTTTGAAAAATATTTTTTTTTAATTTATTTTAGAATAATTTTTTTTTAAATAATCATAATCACACTTCCAAACATACTCTATATAGTATATACTGTAAGATTACATTTCAATAACTCTTTTGATTTTATAATAAGGGATATATCAAAATTAACTTTTTAATAAGTTCTTGATTCATTTTCTCTATCAGTTATCTTAATCTTCATCAATAATAAAAAAAATTATGAGAATTTTAAAATATTGATAAGTTGATTAAATTAAATTAACCCAATTCATATATAAACTAGTATGGAATGAACTAATTTTTTTTCAAAGTATTTCAAGTTTGTTTAGAAAAAAAATTTAAATTATATTTTTTTAAAATTTATTTTTAAATTTTCAAAATTTTTATATATATTTATATTAAATTTTAATTATATTTTTTAAAAATTTATTTTATTTTTTTTTTAAATTTTCAAATTTTTTATATATATTTATATTAAAAATAATTTATTTTTAAATAAAAAAATATTTAAAACCATATTTTTAAATACAAAGGCACCCCTCGTCACTTTAAGGAACCCTATAATTCTCTCTTTCAGATTAGCCTAAACCATACCTCACACGCACCGGATTCGTGCTTCCCCTTTTCATTTCTGTGATTTCTCTTCCCTTTCTCCATCTTCAGTTCACCCACGCACAAAACAAGACAAGACAACAAAAAAAAAAAAACCACAGAAGAATCTTCCACTTCGCGAGTGAAAGAGCGAGCGCTCTGCGTAACGCCCTGGGCATCTCCGAATCCGGATCCGATCTCTCTCCACCCTAACCGTTTACGAGTTTTCTAGATCTGATTGAGGTAACGGACCTCCTCCTCAAATTTATTGTCAATTTTATGCTATACCTATGGATTTTAGTAGATCTGGGTATGATGAGTTGCTAGTATTGTTTCATGGTGGATTCGGTTTTGGTGTCTGGAATGTGCTTTTACTCTTTTATTTTAAATAAGTAATTGCGTTGCTCTCTGCAGTTCTAATTATCTGATCTGCTATTGATTTTTTTTTTAAAGTAAAGCTTCCTAATCAGATCTAACTGTATTAAGATGATGCTCGTATCGATAGATATACGAGTTTATGGTTAATTAATGGATCTATCATTGGCTAAGAGTTGTGGAATTTTGAAAATGACTCTGTTGTTGCGTGCGTGTTGACCCAATCATGTTTGATTGATGTGCATTGCGGCATAAGATTGGGTTGAGTACTGAGTTAAAATTGTTTTGTTTTGTTTTGTTTAATCCAGTGGCTTTTTTTTTGCTGGTATTGAAAATGAGGACGCCCATGATCTGTTGGGCTTTCCTTCTTCTGGTTTTGTTTGGCAAAGCATGCAATGGGTTTTATTTGCCTGGTAGCTACATGCACACGTATTCAACCGGGGATGAAATCTTTGCCAAAGTTAACTCCTTAACTTCTATTGAAACCGAGCTTCCTTTTAGCTACTACAGTCTCCCTTATTGCCAACCCCATGGTGGAATAAAAAAAAGTGCCGAGAATCTTGGGGAGCTTCTTATGGGAGATCAGATCGATAACTCTCCTTACAGGTTTAGAATGAACGTGAATGAGTCTGTTTACCTTTGTACTACCAAGCCTTTGAGTGAGCATGAGGTTAAGCTTCTGAAGCAGAGAACACGTGATCTATATCAAGTGAACATGATTTTAGATAATTTGCCTGTGATGAGGTATGCCAAGCAAAATGGAATTGACATTCAGTGGACGGGTTTCCCTGTTGGGTATACACCACCAAATAGTAATGATGATTATATAATCAATCACCTCAAGTTCACTGTGTTGGTTCATGAGTATGAAGGGAGTGGTGTTGAGGTTATTGGTACTGGGGAAGAAGGCATGGGTATGATTTCTGAATCTGATAAGAAGAAGGCATCTGGTTTCGAGATTGTTGGTTTTGTGGTTGTGCCTTGCAGTGTTAAGTATGATCCTGAAGTGATGACAAAGCACCATATCTATGACAACATCTCACTTGCGGACTGCCCCTCGGACCTCGACAAGTCTCAGATCATAAGGGAGCAAGAGAGGATATCCTTCACCTATGTGGTTGAATTTGTGAAAAGTGACATTAGATGGCCATCTCGTTGGGATGCATACTTGAAGATGGAAGGTGCTCGCGTTCACTGGTTCTCAATCCTGAACTCACTCATGGTGATCTTTTTCCTGGCTGGTATTGTTTTCGTCATCTTCTTAAGGACTGTGAGAAGGGATTTGACTCGGTACGAGGAACTAGACAAAGAAGCTCAAGCACAGATGAATGAGGAGCTTTCTGGATGGAAGCTTGTTGTCGGTGATGTGTTCAGAGAACCAGATTGCCCAAAGCTTCTCTGTGTGATGGTTGGAGATGGTGTTCAAATTACAGGGATGGCAGTAGTTACTATTGTTTTTGCAGCCTTCGGTTTCATGTCGCCAGCTTCACGAGGAATGCTGCTGACAGGGATGATTCTTCTGTATCTTTTCCTCGGTATTGCTGCAGGCTATGCTGCAGTATGTATGTGGACAACCATCAAAGGAACTTCAGAAGGATGGAGGTCCATCTCTTGGTCAGTTGCATCCTTCTTCCCTGGGATTGTCTTTGTTATCCTAACAATTTTGAATTTCATTCTCTGGGGAAGCCATAGTACTGGTGCTATTCCTATTTCCTTGTATTTTGTCCTTTTGGCCCTCTGGTTCTGCATTTCAGTGCCCCTCACTCTCCTGGGAGGATTCATCGGGACACGAGCTGAGGCAATTCAATACCCAGTGAGAACAAACCAGATACCAAGAGAAATTCCTGCACGTAAATTGCCATCATGGGTGCTTGTCCTGGGTGCTGGAACCCTCCCCTTTGGGACCCTTTTCATTGAACTGTTTTTTATTCTCTCTAGCATCTGGCTTGGACGGTTTTATTATGTATTCGGTTTCTTGCTGATAGTTCTGCTGCTCCTGGTTATTGTCTGTGCTGAAGTGTCTGTGGTTCTTACCTACATGCATCTTTGTGTGGAGGATTGGCGGTGGTGGTGGAAGGCTTTCTTTGCTTCCGGTTCAGTTTCTATCTTTGTCTTTCTGTACTCCATCAATTACCTGGTCTTTGACCTACAGAGTTTGAGTGGACCCGTGTCAGCCATACTCTATCTGGGCTATTCACTGATCATGGCAATTGCAATCATGTTGTCTACTGGCACCATTGGTCTCCTTACATCGTTCTACTTTGTGCATTACCTTTTCTCATCTGTAAAGATAGACTAAAACGTTGCTATTGGTGTCTGCTCCATAGCATGAGGAAATTCTCTTGGTTCACATCTTTCTCGCGTGCTAAATTCTAGCTGATCAACTTGTATTAAAGACTCGGATGATATCCTGAATCCATCAAGGCCTGTTTTATTTCATACGTTTTTTCCAGGTTAGAAGACATGATAGTGGTTTGCAGCTTCATTTGGGGCGCGTAAAATGTTTTGACCATTTCAGTTGCTCTAGAAATGTTGTAGTGATTGATCTATTTTGTTGTATCTCTTTTCTTTTTGATAAAAGAAGTGCATATGGCAGGCAATGCAATTCCCAAAAATCTTCAAAACAATTTGAATGCATCTTCCTTTGTTTCATTAATTAGCCCTCTCATGGAAACTGGAGAGATATTTAATGGCAACACTGTCCAGGCAGGTTAGGAGTACCCTCAGGCCTCAATAACGCCGCCTGCTCTGCCAGTGCACTTTAGAGACAGTAACTCTTAGTCTATAGATAAATTGCCTTTTAATGCAAGATCAAATTTCGTTTTGCACACCTTGTCACGCAAGATCAAAACTTGCCTTGCTTAAGGTGGGGAGGACGTCAGCCACGTGCCAAAATCCACCTTTGTTTAAACAAATAATTTAAATCTGGATCTTGCAATACCTTAATCCCAAGGTTGAGAGATTTCAGTAGGAAACAAAATTCCGACCTAGGAGGAGGTACGGGCGTTAGCAGATAGAAAATACAGGAGTATGTGAATGGAATATTTACTTGAAACATTCAAAGCACTGTCTTCATAAATAAAAACCAAAACACTAACTGCTAAAAGTCTTCACAATCCAGTCTTACGGCTGTTAATTACATCATAGATAGGTAGGTAGGGAGGTTACTCCTGATGCAAGGGTAGAAATTCTTGAAACTGGCCAGACCAACCAAATTCCGATGATTGATGATTTATTTTGGCCTGTTATTTAGAGGTCCCGGCAACTCTGTCCGGATCGAAGCGACCATAGTCGATAGCTAGGATGTTTGTGCAAGTGTCATCCCAATTCAAATAGTTGTCAACGGGGTCCTCATATGATGCCCCATCCCCCTCGCTTGCTTGTCTAGGAAGTGTTTTGGAACCTTCCAGATATGAACCTGTTGAATGCCCGACTGAAACGGAGCTGTTCTCAGTCCCAGCTTGAACTGTCGTTGGGGTTTGGAAACTACTCCATGGCATTTCAACAGAAATACCTGCATTAACTGCCTCCATTGAATTACATGCATGGCTCGTGTTCAGCTGGTTCTGGTAAAAATATGGCATCAGCAGGGCAGCATTTCCTGATCCGACGAAGCCCTGCCCATAGTAAGTGCTATTTTCCAGGGTTGCGCCTTCAACGCACTGGTTAGAAGCAAACTTACACGCGTTATTTATTGCTATTCTGAGGTAACTTCCTTGTGCATGTAAATACCTATGTATAGCTCGCTGGGCCTGCACACGATGAAAGTAGCTGAATTTCAACTCGAGTACGAAGTTCAAAAGAAAATAAAAATAAAAATTATATCCATTTCATTAAGAAATGAATACAAAATCCACAAGCATAAGAGTAGCTTGTTGATTGCTGTTTTGATCAGTGACAGACAACCACAAACCAAGTTGTTCATGTAACATTCTGAACATAGAGGCTACGAAATCGATCAAACACGTGTAATGTTTAGAATTGAATATCAATAATGAACAGTGAGATCCTTTCAACTTAAAGAATAACCAAAATAATTCTTATATAAAGAAGAAGAAGCTTGCCTGAATCTTCTGATAAAGGCTGCCTCGATCTTCTTTCTTAACCTTTGATTTGCCTTTGGGTTGACTATATATGACATGGAAGCACCAGGAAACAACAAATTTGGAGCTGTTAGCTTGATTGCAAAATGAAAATAAAACCCGAAATACTAGCAGAACAAGGGTTTTCCCAAATGACAACAAAAATATTAATCATACTTCTTTGCTTGCGATGGGGGCAAGTTCATAGAACTACCCGGGCCTTCGGATCCCTGAGCAGCTGAGATACCTTTCATTCATTCAGAATACAATATCAGGTTCATGATGACATGCTCTACTCAAAGTTACAGAAAGCCTTTCGTTTTGCATAGAAAGATCAAACATGCTCTCTCTTTCTCTCTGTTTTCTTAACTATCAAGCCCTTAGCATGAACATTAAATCAGAACTTTCCCTTTTCCCTCATGGGAGATATCAGAGAGGATAACGACGGCTTAGAAGAACGTATTTCCAATATAACTTGAACATATCAACCTGAGAAAATACCTAACATTTCACCCTTACATGATTCTAAATTGTTAGCACAAAAGGATGTTGTTGAATCTTATAGAAGTCATTTGTGTTCAATTTACTAAATTGATGGCCTTGAATTTTTAGATAGAAGAATACTGACAGGAAGATTCCTAATCAGGTGTTGTTTAGAAAGACTCACCATTTATGAGTGGCTCGCTGAATTCCTTTACTGAATGTCTGCCTTGTCTATACTTCTGCAATAATAATGTATGAATAAATCAGCACCTTGTATAAAATTAAATTTTCACTCTTATTCTGAAATTTTAACAATCTAACATTCAACTCTAGCAATTGAAATAAACATGCCTGGAGGTGGCTCTTGACATGGAAAAGGGTTAATCCCTCGACATCCATCAATTGTAGAACAGACCTTGGTGTTGCTTCTACAAATATGATTCACAGGTCATGCATGGCATGAGATGCTAGAGCTACTAAAACATCTAAAAGAAGCAGTATAAATAGAATAAAGAAAGTAAATGATGTAATATTTCCTGAGTTATTATGGTCAGACACTTGAAAGTTTGAAACAAAATACAACATGATTCATCTGCCAGAGACAGTATGAGGGCTTGGCTAGAAATAAATTTAGTAAATTGCCTGGTGAGAATGGTATAACATTCTAGGTAAACTAATGAATTTTAAGAAACATAAAATTGTATCTCATATCATGCATGGAAAGATATGTGTTGTGAAAAACCTTTAGCAATAATTGATCAATATCGCAACAGGAGAGAAACTAGAAAGAACACAAGATTTAACTTGGTTCGGCAATGTACCTATATTCACAGATATTCACAGGGACGATGAGCTTTTATTCACTATATTAAAATAAGGTTACATTATATGTATTTATAGTAAAATCTAAACTGCCCAAGGAATCCTAGCCGTCCAACAAGTTGACTATGCAAACAGTTTCATTACCATCCATATAGTTGTCTGGATAATTAAGTGTGATAAGTATATTAGTCAATTCACACAAATTGGGATGACTAAAAACTATAAATGAAGAAGGATTCGAGGGTTCCTCCCAACACGTCCTTGGGTTCTTATCCTTCTAGCCAAATCAAGGAAACACCCCATCCTTCACTTCTCATCCCTCCCTCCTCCACCAGTCCCGCCTAGCATACTATCTTTTTCCCACTGCATCTCAGTCTGATGGAACCATATCCCAAAGAATATATGGATTGAGCCCCCCAGGCCACAAGGTTTAGATGAGTCCCTCATCGTCTTCTTTTACTATCAAATGATTCTATTGTGCTTTCCCTGTTTTCTGCGCCTATATTCCCATGCATGCTAAGACCAACGTATTGAACCATATAGCTGAATATGATAGTTAGCATTATCAGCTGGAACAGTAATTTCTGAAGAAGGAAACATAGTGAATTACACAACAAATAGCTGCACATATCCTAAGCAACATTTAGTATAAAATTACAAAATGAAAATAATAGTGACTCTGCATTACCATGTGACTGAGACTAGTAAGTAGTAGTAGTTAGCTCAATTCTAAATACAGAAACACAAAAAAAGAAAAGAAAACATGAGTTGGTAATGGACTTCTATGGTAAAAAAAGAAAAGAAACACAAAGCTGGCTAGAGTAAAAATGGAAAGGAGTGCACTAATGGACTTCTATGGTAAATTCTCATCTGTGCAATCAAAACTACTGCATCCTAAGCCATTTATGAAAAAGGGAAAGAATACCAGCAGGAACTCTCAGTTGGTAATGTGACTCAAACTAGGAACAATAAGCTCAAATAACTGCTGAAACACATAAAACCGAAGGAAAACACAAATTGAAGCCGTGCACGTGTCTGAAAATCAAAGAAGACTGGAAAAAAGATGAAAACAAAAAACAGAGCGATAACGGCTATTTGTAGTAAAGACTCATTAGTGCAAACCATGAATTGCCAGATTTTTCTCTAAAATCATCCAATCAAACTAGGGGAACATTTACGAAACCAACAAATACGCATAAACGTCCACCAAACACATTTTGAACAACAAATTTCTCGTGGTTTCCTATTTATCAAAACTACGAGAACACGACAAACATTAAGAAACAAAAAATCAGCTAGTATTGAAATCTGAGTCGACAAATTTGCGATGCTGACAAGCTCGCTCTACGTGCATGGCAAAGGATCAATTATGATCCCAAGTGCAGTTTATGAGAACCACTAGAAATACCAAAATCTCCAAGTAGTGATTAATAGTGTGACATACAATCCATTAACCAATACAAAAAAGATCTTCCACCAAAAGAACATTCGATTGCTAGATTTCCGTCACATATATAGTGATAACAGAATCAAACAAAAGTGTCGCTACCTTTAAGAGAAATCCTTAACAAACCACATCCACATAACTTCTACGACATGCATGCTTTGCAATACCAAACATAGAAAAAAAATTATAAGTAAATTCATAACTTCATTTGAGCACCAAACTGGTCTCAATAATATTTCAATAATCGCATCTGGTGAAACTAATTAATAAAAACAACTCATTAAGAAAGCATTACAAAATACTGAATTTGTTTCAAAGAAATCATACATCACAATGGCTTGCATTAAACTAATCTACACAATATTAAAGATGAAAAATAAAAAGTAAGAACAGAACACCAGATAATAAACAGAGAGCACAGACAATCACCTGCATGCTAAGAGGACAAAGAATAAGAAAGCCACAAAGTTGAGGGAGAATTTCCATATATTAGAGTGACATCTCTTTGAGAGAAAAGGTTACAATAGCAGATAGAGACTGTAGTGCTTTATGCAATTGTTTTCTTTAGATGAAAACACAATATGATGCACACAGAAGGAAAGAAAAAGAAAAAGAGAGGCAAATTCGCTGAAGTAAAAAACATTTCAAAGAAGAAATCTTTAACAGAAGAAGAAAAAGAAAAAGAAATGATTTTCTTCAAGGAGCGCATGCAAAGGAAAATTCAGAAGGTTAATAAAACAAGATCCAACCAGGAAAACTTCAAATCTAGATGTAAACAACTATGAATTCTAGTAAAACAAAAAATCTTTGGCCCATCAAAGGATGCATGCAGATGAAGATCGTATCTGATCAGTAGAGATCTTACTACAAATAAAATTAAGAAAAGAGCAAAAAGATAATAAAAAAATCATCAACAACAACTAGTCATCCTTGGCATATCAAAAGAGGCATTTATCCTGTTCGATCGAGTAGAGGTTTTTGTAACAATATATTTCTTTTTTAGAAAAAAGCAAAAAGATGATCTTATAATCCCCAACAACCAGGCCTCTCTGGCATACCAAAAGAAGCGTGCAGATGGAAATTAACGCAGACAAAAAAAGCAGCAGCAGAAAGATGATCATATAATCATGAAATATTTCAGAACATGCACTGAGAGAAAGTACTGTTAAAACACATAATAATAACTTAAGAAATAGAGAAACCAGATAACGATGGTTTGTTTTTCAAGATGGGGATGGACTAACTTTGGGGTCCACCAAGCTCTTTGACAGCATTAACGAAACATGAATGGAGGTCTCGTGTCCATCTAAGGCGAGGTTTAAGATCAGAAGTAAAACTAATGCGAAGGTGATTATGAAGTTGTTGTGGAGGAGGAGGAAGGGATGGAGGCTGCTGCTCAAGCCCCTCCTTGTTGTTCTCCTCCTCTTTCTCCACCACCACCCCACCGACCTCCTCGTTAGAAGAAACAACAGCAGGGTGGTAAGTTCCATTTTGAGGCACATGATGAGGAGTTGGGGCTGCTAGAGTTTCTTGGAGTTCAAGAAACGGATCATCATTTTCATCAGAGTCACCAAGTGGACTGAGGTGACCAAGTTGAGTATCATCATGTGGGAGTTTGAGCTCAAAGTACTGATGATTAGGATACCCATACCCAAATTCAAGAAACCCTGATCTCCCATCATTTTCCCTGTCAAAACCATCCAAGAAATGATGGCCCTCCATTGAAACCCCCCCCATTTCTCCTCCAAGAAACGTATCCTCACGATCATCATCATGACCCCCTTTCCTGTCACTCATTTCTCTCTGTCTCACAGCTCAAAATCTTCTTTGTTGCATTTGCACTCCCAAAGAGCTAGATACAGGGGTTAGAAATACAGAGAGCAGACCCCAAAATTCGCAGACACGTAGGCCCCACCGCTAATCTAGTAGGGCCCATGGAAATGGAACAGTAGCAAAACATCAATAAATAAAAAGCTAGAAGAGTCCAAAGATGCACACAACAGCCACTTTGTACGCATTAGAGAACGGAAGTTAGACTTTTGCAACAAGGAGATGAAACCGAGGCAAATGAGACCCGAGGAGAAGAGAGGGAGCGAATTTCCTCCTCCCGTAGCCCCTCCCCCCTCCCCAAACGTACCTGCCTGGTGAGGGTGACATTGGAGTAATTGGGTTGAATTGAGAGAGGGTGCACTGCAACCATGATTGTTCCGTACGTAGTTCAGGGCTGGCGAGGTGGCATTGTGCGATTGTGCTCGGCTGAGAAGATCACCTTTTGGCCTGTCACTCTGTGTTGGCGCATGAAGGGAAACGTGGAGCCCTTTTCTCTCGATGTGGCTGTCTTGTTCTCCTGTTGAAGTGAGCACAGTCAAATCAAGGAAGTCCACAATCCTTACCATCTCCTGTTGAAGTGAGCACTGTCAAATCAAGGAAGCCCACAATCCTTACCATCTTTTCCTTTCCTTTCCTATAAAGAGTCATCATAATAATAATCTCGGTTGTCATTATCGCAGAGAGTTAGATTTCAGGATCATTTCCGACATGGCTTAATGCTAGCAGCTATCTGGAACTGGATTCATCGTATCCTGTAGAGATTTTCTCTCTTTAGGGAAATTGGTGTCCTTTCATGTCGGATTGGAGTTTATGGGCTAATTCAATTCTTAATTGAAAATATATTAAAAATTTATTTATTTATTAAATCAATTATATATATATATAAAAAGAACTAATGACCGATTTAATACTTTTCAGCAGATATAATATAATTCTTTAAAAAATAACCAAGGCCAATAAAAACAAAACACTCACGCTTTGATGTTTAGCTCATTAATGAATCCCACATTGTAACTGACTCTACTTTATTTTTATATTTTAAAAATATTTAAACTTTATATTTTAAATTAATATTTTTTTATTATTTTGAAATCATTTTGATGTGTAGATATAAAAATATAAAATTTTAAATAAAAATATTTTTTTAAAAAATTACTACTACTTTCATAAATACTCCCTAAATAATTATTATCTAAAATGCATTCAAATTATTATTTGATAAAAATATTTAAACTACAAACTTAAGAATTAAAAAAAATGATAAAAAATAATTAATTTTTATTTTGTGAATAATTTTAATTTTGATCCATTTTTGTTTTATTTATTTAACTATTTTATTTTTAAATAATAATAAAAAATATTTATGTCAATTTACTTTTTTTCATGATTTATGTTATTCATCATGTAATTTACATAACTTGAATGCATTTCATGATATTTATGTTAATTTGGTAGTTTTTTATTTTAAATTAATATTTTATTATTATTTTAAAATTATTTTGACACTTTAAAAAATAATTACCGCTATACTTATAAATATTTCTTAAATAATTATTATTTAAAATGCATTTAAATTACTATTTATAAAATATTTAAACTAAAAACTTGAAGAATTGAAAAAATATGATAAAAAAATGATTAATTTTCATTTTTTGAACAATTTTAATTTTGATTTGTCTCTTTTATTTATTTAACTATTTTATTTCTAAATTATAATTAAGAGTATTTATGTCAATTCTCTAATTTTTATTGATTTATGTTATTTCATGAGGCCATGTAATTTACATTTCTTTTTTGTACCTAGTAAAGGTAATTATTATGAATTATAGTTATTTTAATTTTATATTTCACTTAAAAATCAAATATTTCCATCACCTATTTATTTACAAAGCAATAAGTGGTGTACTTAAGTGTTAGGAACACGAATATTTTATAAAAATTTATTTTTTTATTTAAAATTATTTTAATATATTTTTAAATAAAAATATTTTTTTAAAAAAATAAAATTATCCTGCGCAGCTGAATATCCTATTTATTTACGAAGCAATAAATTCTTTTTTTTAACCCTTCACAACAACGCCCTTCCCGTATAATTCCCTTTCTACCTGGGACCCGATGAGGGATGGCGACTCACTCACTGGCCACCATATAATAGAAAGAAATGTATATTCTTTTATTTCTTTCTTTCTTTTAAATATAAAAAAGAAAGCCTCAAACTAGCCGTTGCCTTTTCAAAACGCTCCCTTCCCTTCTCCTTTACCTTCATCTCTAAGCTCTCCTCTCGTTAGGAAAAGGAAATAGCAGCCCCTTGAATCTCTTCATATCCCCCTTTTCTTTCTTTTTTTCCTTTTGATTAATTCTATCTTTGAGACGTTGATTCTTTCTATTGGTAGCAGAAAGCTCGAAAGCAGAGAATAAGAATGTTCACTGAAGGTCTGGATGAATCCGCCATTAACTGGATCAAGCGGGTATTGCATGCTGATCTTTCTTTCTTTTAAAAAATTTATTATTTAATGAGAATGATAGTAGTAATTCATGTATTTGCAGGGATCAGATGCAGAAGAATCTCAACCTAAGGTTCGATCTCCGCTATCCCCGTTATCAGCTGAGAAGCTATCACCACCACCAGCAGCAGAAAACCCATTTCCGAAATCTCCACTTTTCTACACTAGCTCTTCACATTTATTGCCTCCGCTTAAATTCCATTCTGGGTTACTGACCCCTCACAGTATAGTCTCCCCGTGCCTTCAGAACAAAGAAGAAGACGACGATATTGTGAGCGTGGCTTCAGTTTCTGATTACGAGATTGGTCGTCGAAACTACACTGATGAGGATGGTTTTGAGGATATAGGTCCTTCTGATTTTGATTACCTGGAGAAGCCTGTGATGCAAAGTTATCAGGATGGAGATGAGGAGGAGATTTTTGGGGTTACTAGAAATTGGCCTTCTGCTAAAACCAAGTTGAATAGAGGGGTTTTGAAGGAGGATTTGAAGATTGAATTGCCTGGTCACTTTAGAAGGCTTAAGAGTACCACTCAAGTTGATGGTGATCTAGGGTTTAGAAAATCTGGAACACCCAAGAAGAATTCGGTGGGCCCGGGTGGTAGTTTTTCGCTTCGAGAGAGAGTTCAGCTACGCAATGCACAAGTGGTATATTGGGTTCTTGTTTGCTTGTTGATTGATGATCTCTTCGGTTTTTTTTTTTTGAGTACTGGTGATTAATGTCGGTTGTGATTGTGATTATAGGATAATTTTAGCAATGAAGCAAATGTATTTAGACCGGTGGAGGAGATGGGGACTCCAAGTGCTCCTCCAATAATTGAAATTGGAGGAGAAGAAGGGAACGTTACGTTTGACACAGAAATTGAGCAAAATGCGTATGGAGTTGGCAAGCCAAGAGAATCAGGGGAAGGTTTATTTGATCAAACATCACAATCTATGCAAAGTACCGAATGTGATGAAAGGTATTGCTATTATTAGTGGCTTTAGGCATTTAATAATTCATCTATAATTATCATTTCATTGTTCTATTAGTCACTTACTACTAATCTGCTTTATCTTCTGGCGCAGAATAAATAGCTTTATGACTGGAGAAATGGAAGGAAAGATGCCTTATTGGCAGACAAGTTCATCAGACCGTTCACCTTGTTATAACACGGGGTATGATCTGATTTAAAATCAAACTCATTAATGCTATAGTGATATTTTAGTTATTTTAATGGAGTTTAATTTCTAAGTTTGCTATTGGTTTATCCCTTTAGGATTTGAATATAAAAACTAAATGACTGTGTTTTACATTCTGGATTCTCGACTGAATGTTGTCTGGAACATTTGCATTTTCTGCCCTTTATGGATTATGAGTCTGTTTGATATCCATCTGAACAGGATTTGTTTTTCATGCACACAACTATCATTGCCAGCGTGTGTTCTGATGGCTTGTTAATTTAATTGTTGCAGCGGTCAATATGCATGGCAAACTATGATTGCTTATGATGCATGTATCCGCTTATGTCTATACGCCTGGGCTAGAGGTCGCACTGAGGCTCCCGAGTTTCTGCGTGATGAGTGTCTGATTCTTCGAAGTGCTTTTGGGTAGGATTCCTTATGCTTATATGGTGAAAATATAATATAGCTACTAAAAATGGTGATTTTGTTTTTGTTAATTTATGGCTAATATACAACTCTGATTGGTATTTATTTTGCTATTATAATATTGTAGACTACACAAATTTTTGTTGCAACCACGCCGTATACAACCTGTAGCAGTCAACTCAACTAAAATTGTAGAACAAACATGCCCTTTGAAGGCAAAAAAGGTTGTTGGGAAGATAAGAGTTGAAGGTAAGATCTCTTGTGTCATTGCTACATAAGGAAGTCCAATAATTAGAATGAAGCGTTGGAATTTCTTTTCTTTAATTCTTTCGTGTTAATTTGGTTGTCATGTTCTAAATTCCCAGTTCCATTATTTTTCATAATGAGAAAAAAAATAGTTTTCCACCAAAATTAAGCTTTAATTGTTTCTTAATTCAACTAAAGTACACTTATTGACTTTGGCAGTAAAGAAACTCCGGATAATACCACGGCGGAAACTTCTGAGCACTTACTCTCAGCGTAGTGCAATCTACATGCAAATGGGGAAAGAG